TGTAGGGATGGCAAATGTTTTAAAACGTGATCTTAAAAAACATGTTTGTTTGATTTAAAACTGTTGAAAAATTTTTTAATACATTATGACGTAAATATGATCCGAACATGATTCGAATTGCATAATTTAATTTATAATATTGTGATTATTAATATCGATATCGATATTCAAAAATAAATTTAATCGATATTCAAAAAATAAATTAAATAAAAAATTTTTCAAAAATGTCATGTTCGCGAAAGACCCCCTCTAAAAGAAATCCGTTTGAACTTTACAAAAGTTGCTGAACCCGATAAACATGGTCGAAAAACATCTCGCCAAAAATGCAATTATTGCGAAGAAAACTGTTGATTCAGTTGACCGAATTAAAAGGCCATTTATTAGAATGTAAAAAACTTCAAAGAAATATAAGAGATTCATTAAAAATTCAGGATCAGGATTCTGGGTCGTGCAATTAGATAAATCGGATGTGGATAGTATATTAGCAAGGTTTTTTTATTCGGCTGGTATTCCTTTTACGGCTGTTGAAAATCCTTTCTGGGAAGAATTTATGGAAGCCGTACAACATTATATTAAAACTGTACACCCAACGAATGTATTTGCCGATAGGCGAAATTATGCATTTAAAATCAATGAAAGTTGTATTTGCCGATAGGCGAAATTATGCATTTAAAATCAATGAAAGTTTTATTTGCCGATAGGCATTTAAAATCAATGAAAGCTGTATTTGCCGATAGGCGAAATTATGCATTTAAACTCTTAAAATGATCAAATACATTTCTTATTATTCTTAAATGTAATAAATTCGAAATTACTGAATTATATAGCATCGTTTTTTTGAAAATTTCTTTTTAACAATCAAATTAGCTGAAACTAAAATTAGCCAACCAGAGACGATAATTTTAATTTCAGCTAATTTTTAGAATCAGACGCCGATGTTTTAAAAAAGTTTTAAAACAATAAAAAATGTTAAAAAACTGTTTAAAACGTTTTTTTACCATCCCTAATTAGCTGCTACTTTAAGTAACAAACCTTTATACATTTTGAAAAAATATTTGAGTCAGCAATTTCAATATTACTTTAAATATTAATTCGTTAGTTTTGTTTCTTTAGTTTCTGAAAATTTTCTGTGAAAGTGCAGGTATTTTAGAATTTGATATTCATAATAACTATCTTTTCTTTTATGATTATAGGACATGCCAAGTATTTAATATTGAAACTTACAAACAGATTTAGATCTCTTCGGTTGAGACTATACTAAATAGATTTATAACGCAGCTAGTACTACAAAAAGGGTGGGACTTGTTTACTTAGATCATCTATCTATTCAGTTTACTGACTATTTGGATTATTCGTTTACCCAAGTGAAAATATTTATATTCAAAAACTAACACTACTACTTTAATTTATTTTTTAGAACCATTCGGATTCCCAGTTGAGAATTTTCATGTAATGGTAAATTCAGATTTGATCATCTAAAACACTACTACAGTAACCGTAATATATTAACAACTTTTTTTTTATATTTTCTGGACTTTCACTGCTATTTGTATTGGATGTATTATTTATTATATGTAAGAATTTTGGTTTTAAAATCTTAGTTAAATCTATATTGTTTTCTTATGTACAAAATGTCAGATAACCTGAAGGTTATAATTAAACGTATTTTTAAAGTTTTCTGATTTAGCGGCATGTATAATAGGATGAACGTGAGTCTGTTAAAATAGACAATTCTGATCAAGTACTTGTTTGATAACTAGAATTTATTACCAAAATTTGCTGAGATAAGAACGTTAATGGAACGTATAATATTATGGAATCGAATTCAAGTTGAAAATATGAACGTAAGGTATTCATAAACTATCAAATATCCGATGATCCTGATCAAATATTGCATTGGTAAGGTTCACTTATTAACAAAAATATGCTGAGCTAGGAAATGCTAATGAAACTCAAAATGTTGAATATTGTTATGGAAATGGAATTTAAATTGAAAAGGATAAACACAAAGCATTCACTATCGAATGTGGGTGACTTTGATTGAATATTGCACATAGTAACTGGATCTTATTTTGGAAATGGAATTGAAATTGAAAGTGATGAACGTAAGGCATTCATACACTATCACATATCTGCCAAGATAGGTGATCCCGGTTAAATATTTGCACCTAGTAACTGGAATTTAGGTCGAAAAAGATGATTATAAAGCATTCATTTATTATCAAAACCTACAAGATGAAACGTTATAGAACTGCAATATAGCATTAGATGTTGTGATGGAACTGAAAAAAGGTAAATATATAGAATTCATTCATACATGTATTTATCGTGTAGTAGTTGATTCTGCACTACTAATCATATCGTATTAATACGAATGGAAATAAATATAAATTAAATTGCAGAATTAACATTTCAAGTGCATACATCAAAAAATTAGGAGATTAGAATTTAAACTTAAATAATAGATTAGAAGATAAATATTAAATATTATTAAATTAACTACTGCTATCCGTTTTATCCACAGTTACCCGTACAGCCCTTACCTAGGTTTAACCTCCACTCTTTATAAAATTTAAAAATTTAATTTTCGTCTATTTGTTGATATCTATTCGTGACATTAATTTTCTATACATGTGTAATTGAAATTAATACTTAATTTAAAATTAATAAATTAAATATAGTAAAACCAATCATATGTCCCGTTGAAAGGATAAACTTTAAGCATTTGTTTATTATCAGAAATCACACACAAAGCATTATTAAAGTCGAAAAGGATTAATATAAAGCATTCAAAGATTATCCGAATTCGATAAGTTGTTGATTTTGGTTCTGATCACGCTGAAATTATTGAGTTCTACCGAATAAATATCAGTTAATTTTTTTAAAAAATTTATGAAAACAGTTATAATTTGGGATTTAAGCGGTTTCGGGAAAATCATGCTAGTTTAGGGTTTTAGCATTGATTTGGGATTTTGGCACTGCTTTGGGATTTCAATATTAGATTAGGTTTTGGGAAAATGATGCTAGTTTAGGGTTTTAGCATTGATTTGGGATTTCGGTACTAGTTTGAGATTTTGACATTAGTTTAGGTTTCGGGAAAATCATGCTGGTTTAGGGTTTTAGCATTGATTTGGGATTTCGGTACTGATTTGGGATTTTAGCATGATTTGGGATTTCGGCACTAGTTTGGATTTCGGCATGATTTGGGATTTCGGTACTGATTTGGGATTTCGGCATTGGTTTGGGATTTTGGCATTGGTTTGGGATTTCGGTACTGATTTGGGATTTTAGCATGATTTGGGATTTCAGCACTGGTTTGGGATTTCAGCATTGGTTTGGGATTTAGGCACTAGTTTGGGATTTTGGTACTGATTTGGGATTTCAGCATGATTTGGGATTTCAGCACTGGTTTGGGATTTCGGCATTGGTTTGGGATTTTGGTACTGATTTGGGATTTCGGCATTGATTTGGGATTTTGGCATTGGTTTGGGATTTCGGCATTGGTTTGGGATTTTGGTACTGATTTGGGATTTCAGCATGATTTGGGATTTCGGCACTGGTTTGGGATTTCGGCATTGGTTTGGGATTTCGGCATTGGTTTGGGATTTCGGCATTGGTTTGGGATTTCGGCACTAGTTTAGGGTTTCGCAACTTATAGCCGAAACCCTAAACCTTTCGGCCTGAAAAAATAGGTTTCGGGACCCAACTCTAGTCAAGACCCTGCGCGTTATTGTGGGACGCGCATGCGCGGTAATTCGAATCATTTTGACAAATTTGCCTGAACTTAAAAATATGTAACATTGGGGTGTTACAAACATAATGCAAGCCATATAGTAAATTCTAATACGTCAACGATAGTTGATAGTAATAGTAAAAATATATAAAATTCAAACTGCAATAACTCTTGAACCAGCAAACCCACACAAATAAAATTATATTTGTCGAGTTTATTTTAACATGCTCTTTAAAGTGACAACGCTCTTCTTACAAGATATTCGATTTTAATAATTGGTTTTTTTATCTTAACACATAAGCAAAAACAAAAATGTTGCTACTTTAAAGAGCTTGTTAAAACGAACCGAAAAAGTAATTTTATTTGTGTGAGATTGTTGGTTTGAGAGTTATTGCGGTTTGAATTTTATATGTTTTTACTATTGGGACGCACATGGGCGTTGTTTTGAGTCAAAAAAGCAGTTTTCAAAAAAATGGGAGTTTCGAGATAACGCTCATGTGCGTTATTACGCGCCAATACGATATACGCTCTAACTTTCGTGATCACCAAGAAATTAACATGTATATAAGTGCTTGCTCTCGCTTCTGGTTGTGAATATTATACGCTCTCCAAATTCTTCTCTAAAGCAAAGATTACATAATTTCGCATTCTTTTTATAAATCAAGTTCTATACCTTACTGTCAAATTCATCTGACCTTCTAACGACCATTGGAGCTAAACTCGGCAAAAGCTCTCCCTTCGATGGTTACAGTATAGTCCGGGATCTGGAAGTTAATCCATTATCCATTGAAAATGGATATATTACAGTTAACAGGATAATAACCAATTATACATTTACCAATAATTTTATTTTCATTAAATCAATATAACATGAATTAAAAAGGTGCATAGAATAGTAAATTTCCATAAATTAATTATATTGTCAATCTCATAAAATAAATGTAATATATTTATCCGCTAAATTAACAATCTAAATGTTAAAAAGAATGCGAAATTATGTAATCTTTGCTTTAGAGAAGAATTTGGAGAGCGTATAATATTCACAA